AGGGGAGGGTCGAGGCACGGAGTCATCATGGGTGCAGCTGTAGCTACAGTATGTTGCTATCTTATGTACCATCTCCCAATTAAAAGATAGTCCAGCACTGGGCAATAAAAAGTCGATTCATAATCCCCCAATTAAAAAATTGTCTCGACCGTCTATTAGGTGTTTCCGTATATCTGTGTGAAACTAGATGGGTAAGTGTGGGGAGGGGAAGGACAGTGCGGGGCTTGGAGTTCTGAGGGGTCTGGACTCAGGTCCCATTTCTGCTGTCCTCTGCGGCAATGCGGATGGACACATTCCTTCCCTCTTCAAAGCTGGGTCTCAGGAGTCAGGAGTCTGTTACCTTCCCCTGCTTGGGCAGGGCCACATGCTAGAAACCTCCACAGATGGCCTGACGAGTCAGGGTTCAGCCATCCCACAAACTTTCCCTGAGCACTAGAGCACCTTGTGGCCATGGACACATCCATTAGAATCTCAACAGGATTCTGTCTTCTCTGGTCTCAATTTCTCTGGGGTGAGAAGAGGGAATCCAATAAAATAGCAAGTGGTAAGCAGTTGAAATGTAGTTGCTTCTCATTTCTGAGCAGGATGTGATAGGATCAGAGCTTATGACAACATTAAATAACTTGACAACCTTCCACTGTGGTGGTGAAAAGTTTCAGGCTTTATGGCTCTGGAAGGTATGGACTTGAAGAACAGCCAGCCATATTTCACAGCTGGGATGTCGGTGTTTAATGGAAACATATTTTCTCTGTCAAAGTGAAAAATTCTATTTTCATGTGGATGGGAAGAGCTGAGTGCTTCAGTGCCTCTGTGTATATTTGCAAACGAAATGTCTCAATTCTCAGAATGTCATTTTAATGTCTGGAATCTCATCAAGACAGCTGAGTTTTAATAACAATTAAATATGGATTTGCCAGGGACAGGATTACCCTGGAGAGGTGCACAGCACTTGCCTCCTGTTTCCATCTGCCATACCCTTGGCTTTGGTGCAGAACATAAAATAAAAAACCAACAAACCCCAAAACAGTTTGAGCGGAAACACACCAAACAGACTAAGTTACTACTCATTGCAAAATTCTGACATGAATTTAACTGTTGCAAGCTCTCCGATCCTTTTTAACACAGTGCTGGCTCATGGCAGGCACCGAAATTAACATCAATACTAGCTCCATGTCATTTGGCCCTTCAGCCCTTATAGATTATCAGTAGAGCCTAGCTGTCCGCAGAACACTCCAAAGAGTAAACCCACAGGAGAAACAGTGAACTGATTAATTCCACAGACCCTGCTCTGAGGACATGGGCTCTCCTAGGAGCAGTGGTGCTGATGCTGACAAAGGTCATGTGTCCCTTGAGTAGCAGGCAGATGAGCCACATGTCTCCTCATCCCAGGAACTCTGGCCTAGGTACCTAGGACTGTCAGGCAGCCACAAAGCTATCCCAGGTAGGGGGAGACTTTTAGCTCATGGGACTGGATCTTGTTCAGCATCTTCTGTGGGTGGGGGTCCCCGCTGAGGGAGCTGAGGGAGTGTGCGTCCCAGGCTCTCCAGAGCAGCCACAACCACAGCTTCCCAGCTCTGCCAAGTAACCAGAGTGAAAATGTTGACTGAGGAAGACACAAACAGGTCTATAAAAAGCTGACAAATTAGTGAGATAGGGAAGTTTGGAAACCAAATTCTACTGTGACTGAAAAGAGAGTTTAAGGTAAAGCATGGATTTCTGTGTTTTTGAGATAAGAACAACCTTGAGGACACACTGTCTTCATGCATGAGTCATGCTCAGAGCAGTTCTGGTCTGCAGATGATGGAGCCTGTCTCCTTGAGTGAGTCTGATGCTGTACCCTTTAGCTGACTGCAGGAACATGGCCCTCCACCGTTCTGTTACCAGAGGCCCCACCCCACAGGATGTGGCCAAGTGCTCCACTGCAGTTACTCTTTCAGCTACAGTCTTCCTCTTACTTCCTCACAGGTCTCCCTCAGTACCAGAAAAGCCAGTGACAAAATTTCAAGGGGGTAAGTTGCCAAACAAAAACCTTGCAAAGCAAACTGGAAATTCCTGAAGGAAGAGACCAGGTTTCCCCACCTCCTTCCCTAGCAGCCAACAGAGACAAAGCATGGCCACAACACTAGGTTTCCATATAACCAAGAAGTTGGTAAATAGGGTTTGATTTATTTACTCTTTGAAATACTTGAGGAACCAATGTATATTGAGGGTGTTCCTGGAGACACAGCAGTAAGACAGAAGATCCTAGCTGGATGTGGTAGTCTGTGATCCCAGCAGTGTGGGAGGCAGAGGCAGGAGCATTGCAAATTTGAGGCCATCCTGGGAATTTAGCAACTTAGCAGACCCTATCTACAAAAAAGAAAAAAAGAGCTGGGGATGTAGCTCAGGGTTGTTCAATCCCCAGTATCACACACACACAAAAGGAGATCCTTTTGTTTATGGCCCAGTGGACACAGTCAGTGGGTAAAAGGATCAAGACAATCTGTACCAGGCTACACGGCTGAAGGCTGGTGAAGGCAGTGAACAGGGGCGATGAGTGAGGTGCTGGTGAGAGAAGGAGGGAGCTGGGCTCCCTCCAGCCAAGAGGCCCTACAGGTGGATGAATGGGGGCAATCTCTCCCTATTTTCAGATCAACGATCAGCACCCTGAAGCTAACTAGGTTTTCTTGACTCTCTCATAGGTGGTCAAAAGAGCCTCCCTATATCACAAACAGAAATGAACCAAGTGGTAAAGACCAAGGTGGGAGTGCATGCCATTGTTTTCTATTGCGTGGCAAGCAGGATCACAGACTGCGCCCTTTGAAATGCGTCAAATATTCTTACACGTAAACATTACCCTTAGCAACCACAGTTTTCAAGGTCCCCGTTTTTTATTTGCTCTTAAGTCATCAGAAGTTTAAAAATTAGGTTCCACAAAACAAAAGCACAAGAATAGATTTCTGTGTTGCCCAACAATCTTACTTTGATGGAATAAAAACAAATTAAAAGGATATTTCAGTGTTTACCATGTTAAACGACAGGCAAGAGACTGTAAGCCACAGGGGGTTTAGAAAATGGAGTTGCCAGTCAGTCATTCTGAGACCTCAAATGCCACACAGCGTTAGCAGCCCGCACCAGATCACAGCTGTCTCCGCACTTTCACTTTTGGTGAAACTAGATCCTCCCATTCAGAGACTGCCAAACCGTGTTCCTCATAGACAATGCACATGTTAAGGCTGGATGTTATTTTAATTACAAGGAAATGATCAGTAGAACATTTACGTATGCATTAAAATAATTAGACATTTCCATTCAGTTTTTACTACAGTCATTTAAATATTTACAAATCATTAGGTAAGAAACTAGATAATACTGTTTACCACTTGAAGGGTAAAATATGCACATGAATAATGCAATCACTCGTTTTCTATGGATGATCTGACAGCAAATCAAGGAAACTCATGTGGCTGTTAAAGAAACTGAGTCCAAACACAGATTACAGAAGGACCCACCAATGAAAAGTTCATCAATTAAGTTCATTAGGTATAACATAATACAATGAAAAGAGAACATTAAACATCACAGCACTCTGGCCTGTGGTGAAGAGGTGTGGAGGTCACAGTTCAGCTCAGTTCAATTTAGTGGACACTTTCAAATCACTTCTGCAGAGGGGCCGGGGATGTGTGGGTCCATCCTTGGCATCACAATGCACTGTCTTTTACGTTAAATTCAAGGGCAGTGACAAAAGAACTGAAGTTCCTTTCGCCCTTACCAATTAGGGTGTATTCAGAGGTTTGTGTGCTCTGCCAGGCCTATTTCCTCATAGCCTGCAATGCGGCTCAAGGGGTGGACAAAGTAATGGACAGAGTGAGGCAATGGGGGCCTCCTTGACACGTGGACATCACACATCACAAGTGACTCAGAAGGAAACCGAGGGGCACGCCAGGGAGATGCTCCAGGGGTAGAAGCTAATGCAGAGAATCCCAGTTAGAAGGAGGAAGCTGATTCTTACATAATGTGGGAAGTGCAGATGATGTGCTAGAAGTACCAGGTCGACTCTGACTAGTTGGAAGAATTGAGATGAATTGCATTTTTCCCGTTTGCTTATCTGTACTTTCCAAATGGCCTATAATAAGGCGGGGAAGGGCATGTGGAGCAGATAGCACTGGAAAGGCGAGCCACCATCAGCCTGGGGTGGGCCTGGTGTCAGTCTGTGTGCTGAGGATAGCCCTAAGTTCTAAGGTATGAGGGGATGACCCAGCAGTTCTGGAGAAAAGCCCAGAACATGCAAGCACAGAATGCGGGGCAGAAAGAGAAGCCTTCCTGACATGGATGGGGCTGGGGCTCCTTGTCTCTCTTTTCCATTTTTCTCTTTCTCTTTTCTCTCTCCTCTTTTTCTCCTTCCTTCCATCCTTGTCTTTTGCCTTCCTTGTGTTTCTGTGCAAGGACAGGGCCTACCTACCGACACAATTTTCCTGAACAAATTAATAAGAATAATAACAAGGACATGATCTCCTCTCTGCCATCGGTAGGAGCTGTGTTAGCTGAACACCCCCTTTACCCCAGGCCAGATCGAGGGGCTTTGTGTTTAATAACCAAAACCAAAGGCTCCGCTCAGGCTAGCTCAGATTGCAGGCTCAGCCCAGGCCTTACCTTACTGGCCTTCTCAGCGCTTAACTCTCGCTTTCCCACGTGGTTCCCCATCCTGAACTGACCAGCTCTTCAGCAGCTGCAACAAAAAGACAAGTTGTTAGCCTGAGAGCAAGTACTTTTAGGGTTTTCCTCATTGTTTTTTTAACTAGAACAACTCTGTGAAATTTATACTGCTCATTTTTGAGAAGATAAAACCAAAGCCCTAAAACCTGAAGAGAGCAAACACCACTGCCTTTCAACCCCATGTAAAGAGCCCCAAAACAGAAGGTCAAATTCTGTACAGCAGGGAACACATTTAGTACATGTCCTCCTCTATAAAATGTCAGCCCATTTCAACTCCAGCAGATCATCTGCACATGAATACTTACATACAGAGAGCCATGCCTCACCCACAGGGGTAACATAAGGAGCTGAGCAGAGAACAGAGCTCCACATTCTTCTAGAAAACATAAAAGGTCACAAGTAGACGTTCGCACTGACTGCTTGAAAGGATCTGTGAGATCAAAGGACAGCAAGAAATCAAACCTAGACTGCGTATCAGGCGAGTATCCAAAGAATCTACAGAATTTGCCAGGAGGATAAAGTAGAATAAAAAGCATCAGCTCATTTTTATGACTCAAATCTCAGCAACAATCACACACTTGTTTTTTTCCATATAACACAGGGAACTAAAGCATTTAACTGTACCCATTCCAAACCAACTGCTCATCCATTCTCTGTGGACCTGCACTGACCACTGGGAATTTGCCAACAGAAGGCCCCTGGCGCCTCGGCCTGGTGACAGGTGACCTGAATCTTGCAGGACAATGACAATGTGCTGTATCTCACAATGAGATCTTTTTAAGGATTACATTGAATCCAGGAAAGGTAACACAATAAGTCATATTCTAAAATAGAGATGGGGGAATTCCCAGAATATTACCTAGCTCGAATACGACACATTTTAATCCCCCAAAGTTACTCTTTAGATAACTGTCCAGCACCTGACTTTTCCATCTTCCCTGGGTGTCTTTTGATGATTCATCATGAAAGACAATTTCAGGACTGTCTTCTCCATAAGGACACAGCCAGTTCCCCAGCAGTGAAGGGATGCATAAATAGGAAAGATGAAGGCTGATGCTGACCAGGCCACTGCTGGGCTCAGGGGCTCCTGTGCTGGCTCCTCAGTCTGGACTAAATGTCCCAGTGCAGCCAGCTGTGCTAAAGCTCCAGTCTCCAGATAAGAAAGAGATAAGAGCCCAAATTCCCAAACAGATCAGTTTCGCTTGGCCTGACAGTGACACTCCCTCTGCCTTCTCCTTGCAGAAAAGTAGCACAGAGCAACCTGATATTCCCTAATCAGTGATTTTTCTGTTTTGTCTCATAATCCTGCTTCTTATAAGGAAAGTGACTTTGAAAGAACCAATCCAGCTATTTGTTGTTTTTGCTCTCTTCAGCCCTTCTCTGGCTATAAAACCAACTTCTGCACAGCTCATCACATACTTATTCTATTTTATGGATTAAAGGGCTGCTCATTTCTAGAATGCAAAACAAAGCCAAGTTGTAATTTTGTCCTTTGACCACAACTGCAGGGCAGGAGTCAGTCCTGGCGGGCAGGGCCTGTGGCGGTGTGCAGGAGGGACGTGCAGGAGGGGACACCACCGCCAGTCAGCTGCAGAATGGAAGACCTGGAGGGACTGCCGTGCAGTGGGAACAGGTAGGAGACGGTGACACCTCTGGGGACAGCCCCGAGCAGCAAGATATGAAAGTGATCTTCTTCAGGCAACTTCAATCACCGTGCTGACAATGCTCTGGCAAATCAAAGGTACGGTTACACCAACGATACGGACATAGCCGACTTTGAAGAAGTGGGTAACGGTCAGGTTTCACAGCACTGGAACGAAGCGTGCGACACTGTGATATGTATGATTTCTAAAATGCAAAGCCAAACATTTGCAGATAATTTCAGTATCTATTGCAATTCCATCATCTCTTTTCTTGATTTACTTAACTTGGGCCATCCAACAAACAAAACAAATAAACAAACAATATTTCTACGGAATAAGCTTTTCATTAGGAAATGGAGGTTTGGGGCACATGTGATACTTGCTAAGACTGAGGAAGAGAGACAGAGAGGACAAGGGAGGGAGAGGGAAAGGGAAAGGGAAAGGGAAAAAATACTAGTTTTTGGCTTCTTATGGTCTAAACCAAAGGGGTGTGTTCCGTTCGACTTTTCTTTAATTCCACGCAGGGTAGTTTTGACTAAATATTGAGAATTTATAATACGTATTAATATATAGAATAACACATCAGACATCTGTGGGTCTACCTTTCTGTTTAGGAAGGAAGAACTGGCTAGTCAAAATAAACACAGGCGAAAGTAGTTAATTCCTTTTAATGATAGTTGGCAGGCTGGGGGTTGGGGCTGTTTGTGTGCCTCCAGCCCTGGGCAACCTTACCTTGCTGTCCTCCTCTTCACTTGTGGACTCCTCCTGAGCATTCCCGCAGGCCCGCCCTCTGACACCCACCCCCTCTCTGCCTGTGTCCTGCCTTCTATTCATCTCCCCACGCTGGTATCTGTTAGACCCACATATGACATTACCTCTCTTAAGGGACTGTCACAAACTGGAACAGCGTGTGACATGTAAATAATCTGGAAGTTGCTCACAAAGGAAAGCTATTTTGGACAAAGAGCCCTTGAAGCACAGCTGAAATGTAACGCAAGATGCTGAACTGTTTCTTAGATCCAGGCCATATCCCTCCCTCACCAGCATGTTCTGACCAGACTTTTATTGAGTTTCGCAGCAAAACTTTACCTTACATTTGAGATGATATTTTTTTCTCTTTTTTCTTTTTGGACAGAATCTCCCTGGCTGGCTTTGAATCCCAGGCTGGCCTTGAACGTGCGATCCTCCTGCCTCAGCCTCCAGAATGCTGAGACTGCAGGCATGCACCATCATGCCTGGCTGAGATGACTGATTTTCATCAATATTTCAAAACTCAAGGCTACTGGACACAGAATTAATTGAAATAACAAAAGTCCAGATAAGACATTTAAATCAACCTCGTTAGATTTGACCAATTAGTTCTGTACACCTACTTAGATTGGGCTGGCCTGAAATACAAATATAAATAGTGCCAGGAAAAGAGACAAGGAACACAAATGACCACCTGATGCGTGATAGTATCCCAAGGTTGGAGTCCTTGTCACGGACAGTGCTGTCTGAACATCAGCACCTGCAATGCAGGGCACAGACCATGGTCAGGACAATGACATTTAGGTGCCACACATTTTCCTGGCTATGGTCATGAATGATGGGATTTCTGCCTTGTTAAAGACAGTCATGCATCCCTGGTCTGCCTTTTAGAGATGGTTGAGTTAGAGAAGGTTGAAGATGGCACTTGCAACTGGATTCCACTGACTGCAGGGAAGAGCTGTCTGTAGACGAGGAGCTACGTGTCTGATGTTATCCTTACTACATTTTACTTTTGCAATTAATTAAACTGAGAGAACAAGAGCAAAATGTGATAAACATGCAGAGTGCTTCAGGGAAGCCAGGCTCTCAAGCTTCCCTTGAATAACCGACAAAGCTTTTCAGAAAAGCAAAAAAGAGCAGAAGGGATGGACATCTGGATTATATGGAGACTGCTACAGACTTCTAGACTGGAATTCAGGCTTCTATGCTGATCAGATTATAGCCAATGGGAATGCTGGAGGTCTGGGAAATGCCTACATGATTACCAACAATTTTTGTCAGCTAGAGGGCTAAAATTAATCATAGGAAGAAGTTCACAACCTTAATTTACTGGGAAACAATCCAATCTTAGCTGTTGGGCTTCCATTTTTAATAACCTGTTCCCAAAGCAGCTAGACTCCTAAATGTCACCCTGGTGCAGCTGAAGAGGAATAAGTCTAGGTAGAATTCATCAGCCCATTTCCCAAGCAAATGGTGAAGCTAAAATGTGAGGCGGCCCAAGCTGTACTTGTGCACAATACTAGGTCCTAAGTACTTTAATGGGTTATATTTTATAGGGACTTCAGACTTTCCAAAGTGCAAGTAGACTGGATGGGACCCCGGTCTCACTCTGGGTTCCACCTAGGTGACTTTGGGCAAGATTCCATTCTGAGCCTTTGTTTTCTGTGCAATAAAAGCTCCTTTCTTGTCCCCCTGGCTCCTAGGGTTAGGGTTAGGGTCGGAGTTGGGGTTAAGGTCAGGGTGAGCTGAAGGTGATGCTGCAAGGTTGGTGAGGGTTGCTGGGGTGTACTGAGCTGTTGGCTGGATCCCACCTGTTTCCTCTTGCTGGCCCAGCATTACCAGGGGAGGTGGGGAGTGGCTGAAGAGATACCAGCTATCTCTCTAATACCAACTCCTTCTGAGACCAGAACATGGCTTCCCAGTGTATATGCTTCCATGCAAAGGAGGTCAAAGGCAGGAAAGCAGCTGTGAGCTGTCAGCCCAGAACAAAAGCCCCTGCTCACTACAGACAATGGAAGCACAGGAAGTTGGGGAACATGTGCAAGATCCAGACCACACTTAGTACCATGGGTCAGCAGACGAGGAGGGGAAGAAAGCCCACAGGTGATGCAAGAGAAGCCAGTCCCAGAACTGCAGAGACCCCTGAAGTGGGTAGTTCTAAAATTACTGAGTTCAGAAAGGATTACTTTGAGAACCCTTGTTGAAACAAATGAAAGAGAGAAGACCTACCTTACCTGGGGTCCTGGAGCAGCTGGTTAGCAGATGAGGTCACCCACATCATCTTACTGCCCTCCCCAAAGCTGCTGAAATGTAAGCAGTGAACATCAGTAGCAGTGTTGTAAGATCACATTTAGGATGGCACGGAATTAATCATGTGTGCTGTCCTCACCGCACTGAATGTTTGGGCTTATTCATAAAAGTCTTTATAGTATATCTATGTCATATATGTTGTAGGATACAGATGCAGTATTGTACATGTTGCTGGACACCCATCCCAGTTGTATTATTTTTACAGCCTTAGAGTTCTTTTGGATTTGTTTTCATGATCTAATGTTGATTACACAATTTTTTTTTGAGTTCAGGTTCAAGAAAACAATCCTAAAATAAATGTATCTATGGAGATAACAGGATTATTTTTGCAATGATTTACTTCATCTCTCACATTTCTATAAACCTTTAAAGTTACATAATTATAGCAATAACCCTGCCAGTTCCATTCCTATTTTATAGTTGAGAAAGAGAAGTATGAGAGTCTAGCTATGTGTGCCTTTAGAAATACATGCCAGTAAAAATACAGTTGGCTTAATGCTATTTTCATTATGAATGCATCCTATGTGGGAAACAAGTATCATCGAAGGTCTAACATAGCATGCATTCCTAACTTATTAATAATTAAATTACTAATTCCTACAGACTAAGAAGATCTTAAACAAGTAGCCTTGAGAAAATACATGAGTAGCAAGAACCTGTTCCTTATACACATGCACACCGATACACAAGTTATGAAAATAACAAGGACTTTCTTCAGTCATTGTCTAATATTGTGAAATAACAGCAGATTATTATTTTTCACCGGGGACTGACCTCACATCATTTGCAGAGCCCTTTTTAAAATTTTTTATTTTGAGACAGGTTCTCACTAAGTGACTAAGCTTCCAGGTTGGGCTCAAACTTGTGATCTTCCTGCCGCAGGCACAAGAGTACTGGAATTACTGGGTTTTGCCCCCAAGCTCAGCTATTTGGGTTTTAATTCCATGTCTATCAATAATTACTTCTGTCAGCTTCTGGTTTCTTCTCTGTAAAACTGGAGTGCTGGTGGTGTTGTAGGGAGGGTTAAATAAGGAAACTGCGATGACGGCAATGGGCCCCTGATGTCCCGTCTCTGCCCTTTTTAAAGAATGACTTTCGAGTTGCATAAGAGCCTGAATGCAGGAGGAGATGAGAAGAGACTCTGCAAAGAGCCCAAGGGGCCAAGCTTTCATATGTATATTTTGACAGAAAAAGTTCAACTCTCTTGCAGTAATAAAAAGTTTTTAGCAAACATATCACTTTAGGATCGACAGGTAGCCAGACAGCAGTTTATCTCTTTTATTAGCCTCTCGTGCAGTTCTTTATGTACAGGATTTCAGAGTAATTATTTTTGTCCTGTAGTCCACCAGCATTTATATGCATTTGCGTAAGTGAATGGTTAACAGTAAAAACGCCAGTGGAGATGGGCTGAGAAGAACAGACAGCCAGAGAAGTGGGTCAAGTGAGAAACCACAGAAGCACAGAAACACCATGTCCTGCAGCAGAGTGAGATGAAAGTTGGCTCATGCACGGAGCGGGTGAGAGAGCTAGAGGCAAATCCCCAGACCGGCAGAACCCACCTTATGGGGAGTTTCTAGAAACACTCCATGGCCTGGCTCTGTGCACAAGGTCTGAAAAGTCTGAGGACCTCAGGCCATGCTGACACCTCTTGGTGTTTTGGGACTCACAGGAAGGAAGTGGTGAGAAATAGGAAGGAGAAGAAACCTCACTGAGATGTCTGCCAGGAGCTGGGCACAAAGGTAACACCAAGCAAAAAGATTCAGAATTAGTTTGCTCAGACATGAGGGTAAATTTTATTTTCTTTCTCTGCAAAATGAATGAATACTCCACCTTGCATTTTTTGCTTTATATGTTCTACTTTTAGTTATAGATTAGAAGAATAGAAAAAGATATACGAGTATCTGCTCCTAAAACTATACATTTTTAAAATGTCTTGCTGCATTTTAAAACTCACTTTCCCACAGTGACCTTCTCTAACAACCTAATCTTGATGAGACCCTTCAATTATATACTCTGCCTGGGTCCAGTCCTGCACCTAATGTACCTGTCATCTCTGCACCTTGTGTGTGCCTGTTTATAAAGTGGGCATTCCCACTGGACTGCCCACTCCACGAGGGCATGGGACAAGGTCATAAGTATTCCTTGTGGTTTCTGGGCCCAGCATAGGATGAGTCGATGAGTCAATTAATCAATTAATCAATTAACCAGCCAACCAACCAACCAAAGAACATCAGAAGGCACTCATGTCTTCCCATGTCTAAGCAGGACAGTACTAGCATTTGTAAAAAACTTGCAATTCAAATGCAGAAATAAATAATATGGACAATGACAGTCACTGGTTTCTGAAAACACGATGAGCAATATGTACCTGGGTTTTACATTCACATGTACTATACTACCTTAGCTTCCAGGACTTGGCTATTGTCTAAACTCTGCCTCACCCAAATGTCCCATGTACAGTATATATCCAAAGAAGCTACCCCAAGTTGATAATGAGATGACAGTTTAATTCAGAAAGGTTTAGATAATCTTTCTAAAATTTAATTAGGCTCACAACTTAGAAATTATTTGTGAGAGGCTATGTGTTACTGCTGATTGTGTGTTAGTTATGCAAGTATCAAGCCGAAAGGTAAACCAAACTAGAGCCTGGAATTGTGCATTGGTTCAAACTTTTTACTAACATTTACCAGGCCTAATATGTCATGTCACTTTATTTCTACTTGAGCCAAAACACAAACATATTTTCTTCCTTTATCCAGATCAAGGATCAACAAACTATGATCCATATACCAAATATTCAAAAATTTTTGTACAATTTTGTTAGAGCAGGACTGCAATCCTCCATCTGCTTATTTTCTATAGCTCCTTTCCTACAACCATTACAATGTTGGGTAGTTGCAGTATTTTGTGGCCTAAAATATTTACAATCTAGTCTTTTATAGAAAAAGTGTCCTCATTTCTGATATAGATAATAACCATCTTTTAAAACTGTCAAGTCATCTGGATTGTGAATTTTTGTTTTTATTTAAAGAACAGATCTCCTGTGCTTATGCAGCAGAATCTCCCCAACACACATCCTTTCCTTCTTTCTTCCTTTAGTCAAGAGGATTGCCCACTGTTAAGTGGCAACGACTTCTCCCAGCATCCCTTGCAGCTGCATGTGACCATGTCCTAGCAACCAGTTGTCCAGTAAGGGTTGAGGAAATATCTGTTCTATGACTACTGCACTAGGCACAAAATAAATTAAAGATAAGCTCTATGTATTTGGAGACGATAACATGCACACCTTAACAGGCACTGTATCATCTATTACAAAACATGTAAGTTATGATTGATTTTTAAAAGTCTATCCAAGAGACTCCATTTATAGTGAAGAAGGAGGAATATTAATGTGAACTTACACTAGTAGAGTTTAAAAGTGTCATCAGAATGGTGCCTTCATCTGTTTTCTCTGCTTTTTAAAACCCTTAAAGCAATACTTTCAGTACCCATGTGCTTTGCTGTTAACCATTAGTGATTATTACTAGTCTTTCCTAGACTTTAGAAGTAAGCTGACTTTATTGTCCTTGTGGCCCCCATTTGTATTCCTAGACCTCTTTCCTGGACCTCAGTAGCTCTAGGCACTTGTTACTACAGCCTGGTGTGGTCTGGCATGGAGGAAAGGCTCGACACACATGTGCACCCTGGATTGACAGACGTGTCAATCCTTTGGATTAAATGTATCACTTGGTACTGACTGGGAAACCACCGCGTGCTTAGGATAATGCTTCTGTATTTGGAAGGTGACAGAACATACATTCTGGAAGAATGTCATTAAAGGAAAGATTATCACGGATTTCCACATGTCAGAAAGGCTTTTTGGGTCCTGAACGGGGTGAGGGAGATGACTGCATGGAGTTTAGATTGGTAGAAAGAGGCTGTGTTGTAGAAATGAGCAAACCTGACTAAGGCTAGACGAGAGGTAATGGGATGAAGAGTGCAGGTTCCAGGGGCCGTTATGTCCCTTTGTGGAGTGCTGAGTGCAAGGCAGACTGAGCTGGGCGGGCCTCGCAGCAGACTGGAGACGGCAGCACGACCCGATCCCCCAGGGCAGAGCCCCGTGCTTGGGCAGCAGGCAGGACCACGTCCTCTTTTGAGGCCTGTGCCTCCTCTCCAGAGCCCTGGGCAGGTCCCCCAGCACTGCTGATTGACACTCTGACCTGGCTGATGGCTTCTGAAGTCAAAGGTGGCACCTGGACTTGGTGGGTGGGTCTGTTTCAGCAAGAATACTGTTGCCTGTCCTCCTGCAGATAAAATAAACCCTCGCCCGAGACAAGAACCTGGAAGGCAGAAAACCAGAGAACAGACAACAGAGCCAGGGACGCATGTAAAATAAAAGATCTGAAAGGGGAAAAACCAGAGCCAACCAGAGGGGCTTCTATTCCTTTACTGTCCTTGCCGTCTCTCACTTTTGCTTCCTTTCTCCATTCCTCTTCTGCTTAATCTCCCCACCCACACCCACACCCACATTTTTAAGCCTGCTTTCTGTGGACAACCACTATTGCTTAGGTCAGAAACACTCTCGGAACACCACGTGTTCAAACCTCAGCAAACAGCTTCTAACATCAGCAAAGCAGCAAACAAACAAA